TTTACCAAAAAAAAAAAAAAATTTGACTAAAAGAAATTTGTGCTCGACTCGGAGAAATTTCAACCAAACACAGAGAAATTTCAATTTTCACAGAAAAATTTCATCAATGGATTAAGGTAAGGCATGGCATAATTATGTTTAACCATTAGATAAAACATAAAACAATGAGCCAAATTCTCCACGTTTTGAGGAATAAAAATATTTTTCACATTTCGAAGAATGAAAATGTCACTGGATTAGTAATCTCAATCCTAATGTTAAATTCAATATCCAAACAAATGTTAACCAATGGATGGTGTGAATGTGATTGCTTGGTATAGTTTATTAATGTTAAAAATTGTTAATTAGAAAATAAAAATTAAAAATATTTGTCTCTTGATTTTTAAATAATTATTTTTTAAATTTTTTTTATTTGAACTAATTTTGTTTAATGTGTTATGTGGTTACAATTTGTCTGAGCTATTTGTAGTTTTCTTTTCTTTTTATTTATTTTCCATTGGTCAGTAAATTATTTATTACAACTTTTGTTTACAGTTTATTAGATAAAAAATTAAGATAACTTACATAAGTTGATTGCGCCAAAGTTAGGATGAGTAGTTTATTAGACAAAAAATTAAGATGGCTTACATAAGTTGATTGCGTGAAAGTTAGGATGAGTACTTTATTAGACAAAAAATTAACATAACTTACATAAATTGATTGCGTGAAAGTTTGGATGAGTAGTTTATTAGACAAAAAGTTAAGATAGCTTACATAAGTTAATTGCATGAAAATTAAGATGAGTAAGATAGCTTACATAAGTTGATTGCGTGAAAATTGGAATGAGTGGTCAGATTGATGTCGTGTTAATTTATTTATTTATTTATAGATGGAGTGTTCTCCGGATTATCAAGTTTGTGAAATTTTAGATGGAGTGTTCTCCTGATATCAAATTTGTGAAATATTTGACTATTGGTGCACATTTGTTTCTTAAAAGTCAATTCCGCGGATTGATGGGAGAAAATAATGGATCATTTTTATGGTTTATAAAGCAGCAAACAAACCATAAAAATAGAATCAACCTCCAAAATCCATTAAATACTCCAGATGTTTAGATATGGGATACATGATATCATCAAACAACTTTTATTACTCTTTGCAAAAGAACATCTTCAATCTCATGCAATCATCAAACAACTTTTATTGTCATCTTCACCTTGGTTGAAAGTTAGGATGAGTAGTTTATTAGATAAAAAATTAAGATAGCTTATATAAGTTGATTGCGTGAAAGTTAGGATGAGTAATTTATTAGACAAAAAATTAAGATAACTTACATAAGTTGATTGCGTGAAAGTTAGGATGAGTAGTTTATTAGACAAAAAGTTAAGATAGCTAACATAAGTTGATTGCGTGAAAGTTAAGATGAGTAGTTTATTAGACAAAAAATTAAGATATAAGTTGATTGCCTGAAAGTTAGGATGAGTAGTTTATTAGACAAAAAATTAAGATAACTTACATAAATTGATTGCGTGAAAGTTAGAATGAGTGGTCAGATTAATGTCATGATAATTTATTTATTTATTTATAGATGGAGTGTTCTCCTGATTATCAAATTTGTGAAATTTTAGATGGAGTGTTCTCCTGATATCAAATTTGTGAAATAGTTGACTATTGGTGCACATTTGTTTCTTAAAAGTCAATTCTGCGGATTGATGGGATAAAATAATGGATCATTTTTATGGTTTATAAAGCAACAAATAAAAATAGAATCAACCTCCAAAATCCATTAAATACTTAAGTGAGATTTTATGATTAATTTCAAAAATAAAATATAAAGTAAGTTTTTAATTGTTTAATAAACTATGAACATAAATTGACATAAGATTTGAAAAAAAAAAGAAGAAGAAAAAAAATGCATGAGTATATACACTTATATGAAATAAATTGTCTAAATAATTTTGTGAACCAATTATTAATTTATTTGACAAAAACTTCACAGGTGTCCACACTACCAACACTCCAGATGTTTAGATATGGGATGAATGCTATCATCAAACAACTTTTATCACTCTTTGCAAAAGAACATCTTCAATCTCATGCAATCATCAAACAACTTTTATTGTCATCTTCATCTTCGTTGTGTCGTCATCAGTATCATGATCTTTTTTTGTTGCCCTGCCAAGTATATGACAATTCTTTTAGCATACATTTTAACCTCCTCTGCACATACACAAAATATAGAAACGTTATTAAAAAAAAAAAAAAAAAACTAAATTAAAAGAAGAATAAAAATTTATACTATTATACTATTATGTTATATTAAATGAGCCTCTACCTTGGTTTCTTAAAGTTTTTGCCATGTGGCATTTACATAATTTAAAAAAAAAAAAACTAATCAAACTTTACTTGATGTCAGTTACTCTCTTATAGGAACAGACAGTTACAGAACCACACCCTGTAACGCCTCAAATTATTATTATTATTATTATTATTATTATTATTATTATTATTTACTTGTACTTTTGCTTTCTTCCTCTAGTTGTACAATGTCTCTTTTAAAGAAAGTACAAAAGTATTTTTATTCAATTATGGCAAAAGACGTAAAAAACAATAGAAGGCAATCTTTTATTTTTCTTCGACGGTAAGTGATTTAAAAGTTTTTGACTTTTATATTCTCAATTATTGAAATTTTTGTTTATTTGTTTTTTTTTTCGTTATAAATATTGGTTTTTTTTTCTTATTCTTCCCCTTTTACAATCATTCTATTACATGATTTTTTTTTTTAACTTTTTAATTTTTCAGAGAATGCAATTAAATATTGAAGATGCCCAAATGGATCGAAGAAAAATGAGAAATTGAGGAACAAAGAGATGTAATAGAAGAAGAACAATAATTATGTTTAGAGATTGAGGGAGAGTTTTTTGGGGCCAAAATTTGGAGGTTTTGATTGGGTTTGCAAAGGAAGTACAAAAGCAAAGTGCAGACTCAAACAAGAGTTGGCTATTTGATGAGTGATTATGTAGAATTTACTTTTATAGAATTCGTAGTCCTATTTATTTTTTTCCAGGTTGTTTTACACAAATTTATACAATTCCTCCTCCATCCTCCCTCCCCCTCCCCCCAACCCCAAGATTGTCTTATAACTTATATACTTAACTTTTTTTCTACATTATTTTAAAACTTTGTGTTGTTCAAAAAAATAACTTTTCAAGTAATTGTTAATCAACATTTATCTTTTGTTTATCTTTGACTGTAAGTGATTTAAAAACTCTTCAGTATACCTTTTCCAAATGTAACAACGTAATGGATATGATGTGATACTCCAAAAAAAATTTAAAACTTTTTAATGTATTTTTTTTCAAATGTGACAACGTGGCTGGTATGATATGACACTCCAAAAAAATTAAAAAGTCGTTAGTATATTTTTTCTAAATGTGACAACATGACCCAAATGTGACAATGTAGCAGGTATGATATAACACTTCAAAAAAACTAAAAACTCATTAATGTACTTTTTCCAAATGTGGCAAAATATATTGTCACAAAAGTTCTTTCAGCATACATTTTAACCTCCTCTGCACATACACAAAATATAGAAACGTTGTTAAAAATTAGAAGTGACCTGAAAAAAAAAAAAAAAAAAACTAAATTAAAAGGAGAATAAAAATTTATACTATTATGCTA